AGCTGACCATCCATCCATCCATATGTGCACGCGCTGCATGCATGCCTTCACGGCCCGGCTTCAACGTATTCTGAAGTACGATGCACTGGAACGGAAATGTTAAAAACTAGGGTCTCCGGAACGGCAAAAATGTAAGATCTGCATGGTAACTAAACTTGTGATGCCCTGGAACAAGATATTCTTAAAAATGCGATGCACTGGAACGGAAGTTTAGGGTTGAAAATGGGGGTCTCTCCCGCGGCACATACTTACCATGCAATATATATGGAGTCCCCCCCCCCGTCTCTAATCTACCATAGCCAACAGGTATCTAGCCGAGCCAACACTCAACGTGAGATTACAAACGCAGTACACTTTGATTTAACAGCCAAATACCTGCAATTAGGTGACCTTACTACATACTCTGAATCCGACGAAGGGATTGAATTTGGGGCGGGTAAGGAATTAATGTACCGCGCTCACACATGGCATATTTAAAGACTACCGTGTGCCAACACGCGCACGCTCTCTCTCTCCCTCACACACGCACGCACGCACCTCCACGCAAAGACACCGAACATCGAGTATACTACTTTTCCGAAAAGTATTACCATACGACACCATAGACTAATTGGTATTCCGGTAGCTTACGTTGCGGCCAAACCGGCACGAACTAAACTGACGCCACAATAAACCAAACGCGCTCGTTATTTAGTATGTTTGAGAGTTAAAAATGACGATATACTGCATATTAAACCATTACTACACCATGAACAATTAAATGACTGTTTATTTGGGACTTGATAAACAGGTGCTCGATCAATTATAGCACAACAGTTAGAGGGCATTACAACTTTGGTAAATTGTGTATTGATGATAGGCAACTATGTTTCTGAGCTATAAATCGATGACCTGGAACGTACAGAGGGAAGGAACACACATTTAAAGGATATAAATCATGGTAATACAGACTATATTTTCTCAATGATTCTTTACTTAGATATCAGCAAAATGACGGTGATATTGATATTTCGGTCAATAACCGAGACGTAATCGCGTTTACACGCTTTCGTGTTTCACATACATGCGCGTTCTCCAAGAAGGAATGAAACTACAGCTGCTGAGATCACAACGAACTTCTACAGTGAACACACTACGTTCTTCTCTCAAAACCTCCGACGCGTGCAGCCTGGAATGCTTGTTCTCTAGGATAGGTGTAATAGCCTGACGTAAATACTAGTAACCACGTCACCGGTCGCGTATTTGTACTGCCCATCTTATACGAACACGATCAATACAGAAACGCTCAGACACAAAACTAAACTGCAATGTGTCAAGTATACGTGTGGGTCATATGATGATGAAGATAGCGACCATATTACATGACTGTAGCCTGAGCAAATTTCGAAGAACAGGCCGGGTATGTAAAATTTTGCCTCCCGACTAATTACGAGAGAATATGGATGCTTTTATGGATTCGAGAAATGAGCTGCATAGAGAATAATATTGGGGTGAATAGCAAAATTTGTTATAGTGTTTATTACATTTACGTTATGGTTATTTACATTAATTTGCCAATTTTTTCTCCAAAATCTAAACCACACAGCTGCGCCTTTGCTACAGTCCTTTTAGTAGCGATTCCGAGAGATTCCATATTGAGTTATAATCTATATGGAATATATGTGCTACATGCTATATATATATATGTGTGTGTGTGTGTGTGTGTGTGTGTGTGTGTGTGTGTGTGTGCGCGCGCGCGCGTGCGTGCGTGCGGTGCGTGCGTGCGTGCGTGTTCGAAATAATTATACGCTCACTGCTTATAGACAATAAATTGGAATGAAACGACGGTGGCTTAACAAAACAATTTTCACCAACTCACGACAGCAATATAAACGAATTGATATATACACATATTCACACACTCCATTCTACAGCCCTGCGCTCTGCTTAAGCATCAGGTTATTCACGTACGAATTCAATTCACGTACGAATACATGTATGAATTCATGTACGGATTTACGTGCTATTTACGTACGCATTTACATGTTATTTACGTACGTGTTCACGCGCTATTTCAAATAATTTGCATACGTAGTTATGTGCCTGTTTACGTGCTATTTGCGTACGAACCGCTATCCTTCTCGGCTTAAGGTGTTCGAAGCAATGAAACTGTAGCTTTCATGCAAAATCTATAAGAAAATAGCCCAATGAATACATTATTGATGGCAGTACATTTATACCTATTAAACCTAATAACATATCGCCTGACTATATATCGTGGGATCGTTTTTAACTACCGATAATCTCTACATATCACACGATACACTCTTCGCCGCCTCTAACGATTTAGACATACCAGTAAAGCTACCAAGTGGTACAATCATATAGAACTTACAAACACAGAGTGCGACTAGCGCACATCGTAAAAACTAGTTTCCCCCAAATATCCAGAGCCTACATAAAATTAGGGGCCTACACGTGATTCAACCCAAATTTGCTGCGCCGATTATCGCACTCTTTACTCGAGTTGTGCGTGTTAAGAAGGATACGCAAGCACTATTTTGAATGAACCGAGTTTGACCATAACAAACAATACATGGACAAATTTGGCCACATGTATACGACTAGTTTTGCACTCATTTGGGAGACGAGATGGATCGTTTTAGATTGCTTAAACCCATTGTGAAATTTCTAATCTAGCAGGAATGCATTTTTATGGGAGATATAGCGAAAGTATAAATAGTAATATTATTGTAAAGACGTTAATTATGATTTAATTATCGTCAAGAACCAGCCTAGTACAGATCTAGGCCGAGATACTGACAATATGCGGAGAACTGTGCTGATCCATTATTTTGAGGGTCATTGAAATCCCTTCTATGCAGAGGAAAAAATGCATAGGAAAAGGAGTGATTAATTTGTTAAATTATATCGTTTGATTTTGTTTCCCTGCAGTTGCTACATTACCCTTTTAAGCGATAGGATTTGCCAGATACCAGAAATCATAAAAATGACAATATTTATAGATATAGCTTATAGCAAATAGCATCAACAACCACCAGCCATAAATGCTAGTTACGGAAATATAAAATAAATTAGTTATAACGTTTTCCACTTCTAAATTAAAGCATGCCATCATTATATATCGTCGATAAAAAGTTAGTTATAAAAAGTCGATAGTATAATATCACCGCCAAATTTACCACGAATTAAGACCCTGCGTTTGGTGTTATAAATATACTGAGAGTGTAAACACAACAATGGTATGCCATATATTCAATCTTTAAAACAAAGACTATTAATACACGCAGGTCCTTTACTTCAGTAGTGGAATCTATAGATGGCAAAGCAAAACTGATTTATAACAAAAACATGTTCGCAATGTTATAAGTTATTTGCCAAATTACTAGCCAGTGGGCATATTCGATATATTAAGCATTCTTAAAATGTGAACTAGTGGCCCTGGTGCACGCCACTTTGCTACAAGTATAAGATCTATAAATTTTAGTTATAAATGATACAAGTTAAGAAAATTCTCGATTATCAGTTTGGAGTTTTACACTGACATTTGCCTTAAATACTTTTTAAAACGGTCTCTTATTGCTACTATGAGACAGACGTGTCATAGCAATGGACTAGTATAACAGAGGCCGATTAGTGTGACGTAAAATATGAGTAACACGAAAATGAGAACATAAATGAGCAAATTATAATGGCAACAAATTAGCGAACTTTGTCCAAGCACCAAAAGAGACGTACGGGTTATAGAGTTTTAACTCCGTCACCAAGCCATACCAAAATGACTGCCAGCAAATTAACTTATTGGAAATTAAGTCAAACACAATACTAGCACCCAGCCTAATTACGTTTACTTTACGTGAGACACTTTTCGTGGCTAACCCACCTGAGGATAGTGTATTGGAGATACTATATGCATACTTATACATATGCTCATAATAATGGCGATGATATATGACTCATCAAAATCAGTTCCAAACCAAACCGTTCCAGTGTCAATTTAGAAATTGTGCTTTTCAGAACAGCAGAGAATGCGTGAATCATACTTGGTATAATTATAAGGTTTACCCAAAGGGCTTTCTCAAAAACTGTCTAGACCCTATCTGTGTCATTAAAAACACGTACAGGCATGCCCAGATGACTAAAATATGACTAGGATATAACTAAAAAATCACATTTAGTACAACACTTTTTTGTTACACCTGGAAACGCTCATGATATATAATACACAATGACTGAAAACCCAATACGTTTCAATAAGCAAACGTTATTATAAAATGCACGAACAAGAACGACTAGAAGTTTTCCTGGACAGTCTAATTAGAGCCACAGTAAATGCCTGTAAGAACAACAGACCTAGAATGTAAAACTATGGGATACATGGTTTCCCTATTGCCATTGAAGATTAGTTGCAATACCCATAGCTCAATATATATATATATATCAGGAGTTAATGAGACAAATTTGTTAAATGAGACAAATTGAGACAATGAGATTTGTCTCATTAACTCCTGATATATATATATATATATATATATATATATATATATAACATAATATGCAGACATTGGGAAATTTGGTTTAACAGTGTCAACCACGTATAGCTGTGTAAGAAGGTACATAAATACATTAGGTACATGAATTGCACAAATGATGGAAAAGAATAACATATTTAAAATCTGTGTAATTCTGGACATCTGTTCCTTTGAAAGTACAATAGTACTAAGGAAGTACTTCTGCAAGCCAACGTGCCCTGTCTGAACTGTACAATATTTAACATTCAATAGAATACTTTATAAATATACATACACATGCAACACATGAACACCTACGCACACATACGCTCACACACGCACGCACATACACACCCGCATACACGCATGCACACACGCACACATACACATACACATACACATACACGCACGCACGCACGCACGCACGCACGCACGCACGCACGCACGCACGCACGCACGCACGCACGCACGCACACACACACTAGAACACATAGACATAGACATAGACATATACATATAAATAAACGTATATACTTATATAGACTGTGAAAAAACAACAACCAAAATCATTTTATGATCATATTTGATAAGCTCCTTGTAAAACCTGTCAAAAGCCTGGGTGCATGGAATGTGCCACTGTGTGAGCTCCCTCACTAGCTCACTCGCTCTGCATGTACACCCTTGCCAGAAGCAATCTTAGACCTAACTTATGTATACATTTCGAAACTGGACGCCACACGTGTCGATAGGAAAACACCTTTCTCCAGCAGGTGCGTGGAGATGCCATGACAGTACAAGACAGCAAGTACAAATCAGCTGTGCGCAACATGTTTGCAGAATCTGGATGTCTGCCCATGCTGCACTATCAGCTACAAACCATCGAGCCGAAAGGAGTCGTCACATGCGGAGTCTGCCACCAGGTCAGGGTCGGCCAGCATCTGCAGTCCATCAATGTCGAGTGGGTCAAGGCCATCCTTGAGGGCTTCATCAGATGGAAAGAAGTCCGTGTCAAATCCAGCCATCGCATTTCCAATGTCTCGCACTAGGTCCTGCCGTAGGCCCTCGTCTGCTCCTACGATCAACCACCAAGAACAATCAGTAACAACGACGCTCACTAATGTGCTCCGGTAATATGTACTTAAAGCATTAATTACGAGAATTCTCCAGTGTTTTCCCCACTTGAGTAACAGCAATTCAATGTCTAGAGTAACAATAAAATGTCTTAGTATAGATCCTTTGTATTCACCAATACATGCACAATTACAATTTTGCTTTCTGTTTTTGATTTCGCTGCCATTTCCTGGACTTTCTCGCGATAGCGCAAGACATTGACCAGGGTGCAGTAATGCAAATAATTACACTGCAACAATTTTGGTCCGAGTGTAAACACAGATGTTCAGACTAGCGTAACAGGAGTGTAGGGCCTAATACTGATGCCACGTAAAGTTTGTTATTAGAGAAGCTTGCGGATTACCAGTCAGATAGTAACATGGGAATGACAATGACAGAAAGTGTTGAATGGCGGATGTATCAGACCAACACTCGGCTGATATCTTCTCCGAAACAGAGCCGCGTACCGCAACCAGTACACGGCAGTCTACTCTCTAGTATTGACAAAAAACGCGTTCTCCTTTTCTCCGAACTTCAAAGTACACGTCCTACTGCTTTCATGGTTGTTTGATTTGTGCTAGTCTAACAACAAACTCGCTCACAAAAGCACCTCGCTGCTGAGCTTCACTGCGCATGGCAAGTCAATAATTCTTACTACACAAAATCAAATGCCCCTTTGTTTTAATCAGGTGCACTTGTTTTGAAGGTGCCATTTGTTTTTAGCTCAGCTGACGGAGGTCAGATGCAGCTTGTAGAATCGCATGTCTGTCCTGTCCGTGCGTCTGTCAACAGTTGGGCACAAATCTTAACTGCTCGATGTACGGTCTTGATATTTGGGACGTCGGTGGGGATCGCGAAAAGGACCCGGGATGTCGAATTTGGGGGTCAAGGGTCAAAGGTCAAGATGTGTCAATGGAAGGGAAATATTTCCCCCTTAACTTAAGGTATAGGAGGAAATACGGAATTGCAGCACAAATCTCAACGGCTCGACCTACGCTCTTAATATTCGATATATAGTGTGATGGGGAGCAAACCCACCACCAGCGCGAAATTGGAGGTCACAGGTCAAAGGGCAGTGGGAAAAAGGTCAGATATCAGACATTTTCTGAGAACATGGTCTAATGGACCGAGTGCAAAACTTTTTTGTTTCAACGCTGACCTACCATTTTTATCACTTTATTGAAAGGACCATGAAATCTACTTTCCGCTGACGTGTGAAGAGTAACTGTCTGATATAGTGATAACCTTTTGACCCTCAAGAGAAGGGTTAAACATGGATTTGTTTACTGTTAACAAAGGACTGAACTGCTCATGCTATTAGAGCCCCCGTCAACCGCCCCTTCTCCCACCACCACCACTACGCTCGCACTCGACGCATATCACGCATATCCATGATAACATGTTAATATAGCGAAGTCATTAAAGTTACACAGCTGTATCTTTATTACTGGACTATCGGTATAGCAAAGCAAATCATAGATTTTAGATCTGTATTAGTAGTATCCTAGATATATGCTATGAGCGCGAACACGGTGGCGGGAGGGCGCACTTGACAAACTGCAGCCGGATAAACGCGCGAAGCGCGAACAGCGCCACACTGGCGCCATCTATGGACAACTCGCTGCCCTATATTAGAATACTTTTCACGAGGCCTTTTAGGTATAGGATAAAGCCGTAGAATCGGTCAATTCAGCAGTTCTGGCCATTGCAGAAGTCTTTCGGCTTTGCACGTAGGGCGAGAATAAATCGTCGTTTTTGTTGCTTTGTGGCTCGGCGCGCGTGCTTTTCATG